AAGAAAATGTGCCTCGTGGGTTTGAGAAAATGATGAGGACACGACATTGATGATAGTGGAATTGTTTTACTATATACTTTGAAATTTGGAAATTTAAACTAGTCAACTTCATCACTCGATCGTGTAAATTACGTTATTTACATAGATACGTATATAATATTATATGGTAATCATATACTTCAATTTTAAGCGTGACCAATATAGGTGGATAAAAGAGATTTCAATGGAGCTCAAGATATGTATTTTCATGTACTAATTACAGGTTACTAAAAGAAGAAGATGAAGCAATCTCTATAAGTTGTTCTTGTTCTTGTGGTCTTGCCTTGCGCATTCACGGAGAAGGAAAGAGTGGCTTCTTTTTGTCTGATAAAATTTGAATTTATATTACTAAAAATCGATACTTGATGGGTAGTAACTACATTAGCTTTTAAGGCTAAGACCATATGCAAGGGGGGAACTTTTGAGTGTGTTCTTAGGATTTAAAAATAGGAAATAAGGTGAACAGTGGTAGAACAGTTCTAACTTATCCTGCAAACTGTTCTTCCTGAAGAACAGTTTTTATAATTTTAAGAACAGTTGTATCCACTATTCAACATTTTTATTATTTTAAAACCCTTAAGAACACACCAAATCTTTCTCCTTGCATATGGTCTAAGGAGCTTTGGTCAAAAAGTGTTTCTAAAAAAGAACCCACTCCTTTCAAATAAAGTACAGGAGAGGAGATTGACAAAGAGAATATATAAACAACCTTAATTTTGTTATTTAATTTACTAGTTTAGATATTTCTATAAATTTATATATTAAAATTTTCATAAAAACTCAAAATATAACTCACATATTTAATTTCAATATTAGACTTTACTAACCAAACTTCTATGCATGTAATTCGTCGAATCACTATAGAATTTTTTTTGTTTTGTTTTAATACGTGTGCAAGTTTAGTCACCAAAAGCAAAGATCCTTGGGTTACTGGAAATACGAGGTCCATTAAGTAGAGATTCCATAAATCATAAATGAATCTCTTATAAGGCCCATTATCACTTTCAAGAGAGAAGAGCATTGATTTTATGGGAAATTTGAGGCTTGATCGTAAGAACTAAGAAGCTTGCAAATATTCATTAATTAGCACATTCTCTGTTGTATACTTGTAACTTGTAAGATATGAACCAAGTCATGAGAAGTGAAGTTCCAAGCCTATTGAACTGAGGACCATATTTGCATTATGGATTCATTTGGATCATCTAATCACCTTTGGATTAATCTCAGCCAGATATGGTCAAAGAAGTAATCTCGAAACTCAAGTCCAATTTTTGTTTTTCATTTATCACTTGTTTCCTTATTTAGCTGATTATATTCTTTATATTACTGTTTAATTTTTAACTTGTTTCACCATAACTTGTTTCACCATATCTAATTAAGAACTCTATATAATGAGCCTCTGGTGCAATGCAACTCATATAGTTTATTTTTCTAAATTGAATAGCAGAATGAACAGTAGATATTCATTATGAACCACAAAAAAATGGTACGATGTAACAATTGAATACAATTATACTCCCGACACACAAAAAATAATTTTCTAATCGTTACAAAGTTGATAGAACTATTTACATCATTATCTATGAATGATGGAGTCGGAAGAGACAAAACATGCATAAACTTAGGGTCTCGGTTTTATTATAAGGTTTTAAATGTTTCAATTTGCAATGATGTCAAACATTAGGGTCCCAAACTGAATAAGTGTAAATATGTGTGACATTTTTTTACTAATATTTTACTCTCTAATTAATTATATGGTCGCGCATAAGTAAGATAATAAATGTTTGTACATAAATGATATGATGAAAAACAATGTTATAGAATTATGAGTGCGTTATTTTTCTTTAACCGTATGTGATATATAAATCACGTACATGATTATAAAAAACGGTGGTCCTAAAACTTTTAAACGGGTTTAGTTTGTGGTCTGAATTGAAACGTGTGACCCACTAATTACAAAATGATAAACAATCTTTAATTTCAAGGATAACTCAGTTTATTAAAATGTGTACGTACTTGACTTTGTGAGACATTCTAAAGATTAATTATCGATTATAAATTATGTTTGTGGGCTGAATCGATTCCATTAATAAACATAAAAAATGTAATCGTCGGTTTTTTTGGTGCCATCATAGTCATGCTCGTTGCATCACCTAATTAATTAACAACTGAAGAAAAAAAATTCCTCTTTGTATCGCTTGTAAACTATTCCTATATTGTATTCATTTAAAGGAAATTTGGAAATTGAGCGTATATATATATATATATATATATAGGTTTAATATAACGAATGTTAACCAACCCGCGTTGGTCCAGTTGGTAAAGGGCTCACGGCTGTGAGTTCCCCCTCCTGGGTTCGATTCGGGTTGGCCACTACGTATTCACATTGGCGCTCCGCAGGCCTCCAGGAGCCGACACGTGGAGAGCCGTTTGGCTGCCCACGTGGCTAGTCTGTGCGAACCGATAGCTAACACGTGGACCCCTGCTCTGTCGGCCTGTACCGATAGCTAACATGTGGAACCCTGTTCTATCGGCAAGCAACAGGAACCTGGGTTATCAAAAAATATATATATATATATATAACGAATGTTTAAATTATTATACTTTATAAAGTGTGTGAAAGACACGTGCTCTAAACCTTTTAGGCATATGGCCATGATCATGATTTCAAATTCTTCTTTAAGCGATACTATCGGCAAAAAGGTAGAGGGTTTTAGATAATTAGATCAAATATTCAAGTTCGAAGACTCCACAACTCGTTACGTTCAAGCTCCTTAACGAGTCATGTGCTCGTCAAGGGTGTGGTCTTTTTTCAGTTGCAACAAACCAAAGGCAAAGGTCATGCAATCCTTAGCAAAATGTGTTACTCCCTCCGTATTTTATTAATTGTCGTTTTAGAATTTTTATTTTTTTAAATTGGATGTCGTTTTCAAATTTCTATGCAAAATTTTTTACTTTTTAATGTTTTATGATATCATAAAACATAAAAAGTAAAAATTG